AAAAAAAAAAAAAAGTAATTGCAATGGTAAGCTAGCCTGCACCACAAACGAGACTAAACTCTGTTAACTTCGTCACCGAAACAGCGCCGAAATCCTTGCTCTGGGCCTCCTACTGTGTACCAGGATTTAAGAGCCCGTCATGATTGGTCAGTTGAAAATACCATTGTCAATTTGCCAATCAGGCTGAAAGGAAACTCGAAACGCATTTTCTGCAATTCGTGGAGTCCGTTGGGGGACCTTACGAAACTACCATGGCGACGGCAACGGCAAACGTCAAAAAGCAGTGGGTTTAGTAAGCAAAACAACAGCTCTGCACGTGTATCACGCTTTTTTGTACATTTCTTTGACCAAATTTTAAGTTTTTCTTGAGGACAGAACGGCAAGGCGTTAAATTCGACCATTTCTGTTTGAACTCAGGAGAGGCCCCTTCTCTTCAGCTCCAACATAAATTCCAATCTTTTAAGTAACTGGGCGACTTGGGATAATCGCGAAATGGGTTGAAATAATGCGGAGTCTATTTTTCAGCAAGGTTTTCATGGACGTCGCCGTTGTCGGATCGTAAGGTCCCTATTATTGCTGCTTCGCGGACGTTACCAACCGAGGTTTGATTACGTCTGCAGGCCTGGTCTGTTTTGATGATCATTCTTCACTCTCATCTACAACCGCAGTTCAAAAATGAATTATTTCATATACTTCACATCCTTTGATAAGCAAGTAAAGTATCTACTGCACTGTGTGAATTTGCTAGCTTGTAGTGTAATTAGTGCAATAAGTTCGAAAAGAGTGGGCATAGAATGAAGCACATGTAGTTTAACGGCGAACTGAAAGTCACATGTCTGCCTACTCACCCTCTATGAACGACGGGTCACATGCTTGACTCGTGACGGGTAACCCAGTAGCAAATACTACGTATGCTTGAATTCTATCCCATTATGGACCAGATACACTAGACGTACATGTATATACTTACTGCCTTTGTCTCACTTCAAATAAACAACAAATGGAAGCGTACAAATTAAAAAAAAAAGTACTAGAGTACTGTCCCGTTATATGATCCGAAAAAGGGTATATTACAACCTTACAATATACGTGTTGCACACAAACCGATAACCACTTTACAGCGACTGCTTACTAATGTCAAGGACAAAGACAAACCGGGGGACAGACAGGGAGCAGTATACAAGATCAAATGCTGCGACTGCCAGGCTTCTTACATTGGTGAAACCGGCAGAAACCTAAGCACACGACTGACCGAACACAAACGAGCTACGAAGAATGGTGACGTCAACAATCACATTGCTGAACACCATTTAAAGACGAAACATCAAATTGACTGGGACTCTGCGACATGTATAACGTATTCTACAGACTACTATCAACGTCTTACTTTAGAAAGCTGGTTTACTAACTTAGAACAAACGCCACTGAATCGTAGCCAACAGTTACCAGCGCCGTACAAACGACTTATTGACGAGATCAAGCAAAACTAACTACGAGAGAATGACAATTTGACTAACAATAGACGACTGTTTAACTGTGACAATAGACGGATCGAAACGCACCAACTACTGGTTACGAGTCTTCATAGGCAATAACATCACGGCTTAACTGACAGACGACCAAAAACATCACGACGTAATTGACCAATCAGATCAATAACCAGAGCATAATACCATCAACTGACGTGATACAACTCACTTTGACTCTGAAGATGACTACCGCACAGGTTGTCGAAACGTCAGTCACTGTCAACAACAACAGTCCTATTCAGGACTACGTCCACCCGGACAATCAAACTCAACCTACTTTTGTACTTAACTTTGTTTGATACGTCGTTAAACTCTTATTAATTAACAATTATAATGAATGAGGCTGATTATATCTTTTGAAGAATTATGGAGATCTCTCTAATTCTTAATATGATACGAAAGCCTAATTCAATAATTGTTTTATTATTCATTCAAAAAATTCCTAGTTTAAAACATAGCTAAAACATGCTTACCTCCATTGATGGTATGTTCATCTTCGATAGTGCACGTTTAGGGTTGTTCAGCTCCGCAAATATTCCCCAAATAGCAGATGTCGCTTTTCGAGTTGTCTTCTTGCTGTTCTTACCATGTTTTTAGCTATTATTTCGCCTAGTTCTTACTCTTGAAACGAGTAGATTGTCCGCCATTTTTGTTTTCACAACCAAAACAACTAAACCTCGTTCCCAGGTCTTCTCGGTTAACGGTGTATTAAAGTGCACGGAAGCTGCACTTTTGACGTCATCGGTTTATTAATCACAAAATTCTTCCAAATTTGGTCATCAGTAGCTGGTTATGGTGAATTATGCGTGTGCTTTTAGCCAATCAGAATCGGGGAAATATTTTGAATGAATAATAATGTATGTTATGTCACTCGACAGTGAAAGCATTTAAAATATCTGAAAGATATCATTAAGTAAATTGAACTCCTACCTGGATCACTGAAAGGTACAAGAATGTAAGTAAAGGAAGATCCTTTCTTTTCCAGCGTTTTCTGAACAAAATTAATGGATAAACTCTTTACCTCGCTGATTTCATCTGTGGAATAATAATAATCAATGATAATGATAATAATGATGATGACTGTCCTACGGGATGGATGAAAGTGAGCTGGATTCATTGGCATTGATTGAAAAACAGGATGTGTCTCCACTCTGCAAAATGTGCGGAGAAAAAGAAGAGACAGATGCAGTAAGATGGATTACCGTCATAGGCACGAAGTTGCACGATTTCACTGGTACATCTCAAGATAACATATATTGGAAACGAAGGGCAAGTGCTATGACCACAAACTGGCAAAAAAAGTGATTTAGAGTAATGATGTCAAGCTGCTTTGGGATTACAGCACACAAACTGATAGAGAGATGGAAGCCCGAAGACCAGACATAGTACTTACTTACAAGTAGAGATGTATGATTATGACATAGCTGTACCTGGAGATGCCAGAGTTGCTGAGAAGGAAAATTAAAAGGAGAAGATTGAAACATATCAGGACCTGAGCTAAAGGAGAGAAATAGAGCGACTGTCGAATGTTAAGACGACTGTGGTCCCCGTGGTGATTTGAAGGCTTGGAATGGTATCAGGAAATTTGCCCAGTAATCTGGAGAAGATTAGAATAACTACAAAAAGATATAACTGCCACAGAAGGCAGCTCTTCTTGGAACTGCAAAATTGCTTCGAAGAATTCTGGAGGCCTAAGGCTGCGAGTCGTAGCTTGCCCTCTGAATATCTATCCAGCATGAAGATTAAGCTGAGTAACATGAACAACAACAAAAACAACAACAACAATAATAATAATAATAATAATAATAATAACAATAATAGAGTGGTTTTCGTTTGAGTGTCGTAAAACCAAAACCAAAGTAATTACTCTGGCCAATCACATAGGACACAGACAATACATTGAACCAATCAAAACTCGAAGTAATTACATGTGGCTAACGCAAAGCGCGGGAAAATGCATGCGAGCGCGTCACAATTGGCTTTGGTTTTACTTCTGATTGGATGAAAAGGTGGCGCGAATCTTTTAAGCCAATCGCATCGTGTAGAAAGTGCAAAACCAATTACTTTTCGACACTCAAATGAAAACCGCTCTA